GAGTTGCATTGGAGCTGTGACTGTAAATTTGTCCGAATAAGTCCTCGGCTAACCGTCCCACGGCCCCGATAAATCCCTGCTGGGCTTTCGTCTGTCATGTGACGGGCATCGTCAGTGCAAGACACCAAGCCCCAATACCTTTCCTGTCCACAATTCTCCACTCCATTAAAAGTTACTTCCTCCGTAATCCCTTTCATTCGCTTTTTTAAAACAGAATTTTAGCCGTCTTCTTAGTTTCTACAGCCTTCATGATCTTCTGCTTGGCTGCATGTTCTAAAACATTGTCAGCCCAGAGATGAAGATCTTTGTTGTCGTTGTGCTTGGTTTGCTGCTCTAATGATGTGCATCACATGATGGAAGCAAGCGCAACAAGGATTCATCGGGGTCGCGAAGCAATGAGCTGAAGAATTATTCGCACAAATCTACAGTCATAGTCCCCAACTTACGAATCCCTTCTATTCACCTCTTCAAACGGAATGAAAGGTACTCCAACATCAATCTATTGAGGGATTCTTCGTAAACTAGTTTTTCTACATATTTATAAGGAAGTCGCGTTTGCTGTTAAGAATATCACTTTTACAACCTCAAAAAACCTACCATTGTAATACTTCTATTTCTAGAGGTGGCTTTATAGCCTCAACAAGTTGATCTCGCTTTACTTTGTTCCTTTGGTTCATGCATTTCAAAATATATGCCAATTTTGTCATTACTATTACCCCATTTATCTCCTATTCACTTTAGCATTCCACCTTTTGTCCATATTTGCAAAAGCGATGCCATATACTTTTCATTGTGCTTTACTGTACATATACTACTGGATTGTGTGGCAAGTATCAGCATGTGCAGGAAGGATAACGGTAACCATAATTGGTATGTCTACTCCCCTGCTCTGTACAGTTAGCCATTACCAACTGAATTTTTACTCATTATGAATGCAGCCTGGTGTCGGTTTCTATCTCGTACTAAGCAAAATTTTGCACACTTATAACCCGTGTTAATCACACCTTGATTACACACGTTTTGCCCTAACTACATTATCACACTATAAAAGAGGGCATTTCTAAAGGGCTGGCTTGCCTTGAGAGTCGCATCTGCCACATGGCTCACAGGCCTCTGTGGACTTGGTTGGAGGTCTGGTAGCTTTGTCACTTGACATACACAAAGTGAGTTAGAATTCCGTTGGGGATGCATGCTGATGAGATGTGGGAGAGGTCAAGGTTGCAGTCAAATTCCAGTGAGAAGGCATTTTAGGCGATAAAGCTGTGTGAAATTAATCCTAATCCTAAGGCGTGTTTGTTGTTTCATGGTGGGAAATTGAATTATCCGTTCAGCAACATCTCAAGGACCCTTGGCTGCATAGAGTTTTTATTCGAGAGTTATTGTTCATTTCTGGGTCTACTTAATCAACATATTGGATAATCTTCAGAATCGAGAATGTTCTCGATTTACAATATATTTTCATTGTCACCAGTTGCTAATAACTCAAGTCATGGACAAACAAAATTGAGACACATGCCATTAGGTTGATGAATATCGTCGATTTGCCATCAAACAGTCTCCCCAAGTGTCTGTTTGTGTGTGTTCATGTCTATCTATGCTTAACGTTATTTGTGCGTGTATGGAGCCACCAATTGTCTGTTGGCTTGCACCTACCTTGAAAATCATGATTGAAGTCATCTAAAGAGTCTGCGATCTCGTGGTATGACCTCGGTGGGTGTGAATACAGCTCGGCGGCCTGTACCATCAATTTGGGAATGCCTGGCCCGCGCAACAGACGCAACTTCAAACTGCCAGTAGAGTAGAGACCGCCAAAGGCTTCGCAACTCAACGTCGCGTTTTCCCCGGGATTTCCGGTCACGTTAAGATGCGTACCGGCGGATAAAAAGAAGGGTCGCATTCTGATGTTTGGGAGAACGCTGAACAGGGAATGGTGGACCCAGAAAGAATAGACAAGCGATAGGATGTGAGCGCTAAATGTTCTAGAATCACGACATCGTTTGGCGTTTCGCAAACAGTGAAGGCTCAGAACTACACGAACTAAAAAGTAATCCGAAAAAGTTGAGAGCCGAGTTGGTTTGTAATGCTACTAATATGAGATCAGGCACATGTTCCTTGTTTGTCAGGGGAGTGATCCAAAAACCTCGTTAATAAATATAATATTATCAACAAAACACTCTATACCGATTACTAGCTATATCAGCTATTGAAGAATTACATTAAAATAGGATTAAGTTAATTCTAGCTTGCATATAAAAGAGCGAAACATACAAACAATAGTACATAAATTGATAATTCACCTTCAGCTCAAATAAACTTCTAAATATATATCTTCTAATAATAATAATAATAATAATATGGACTTTAAAAAAAGATCTTAAATGAATTCCCTAAACTATGGTTCTTGAATTACCAAAAAGAATTTCGGCTAAAATGATATGAACAACGAATGGAATAAAAATAGGTATAAATGGGCAGAAACAAAAAACCAATAAATCCACACCCATTAAATCAAGATCACTTCAATTACAAAATGATATTTACACAAAACTTAAATAATCAAGTATGCCAATAAAGGAACAAAGAAGTGAACAAATAACATTAAATATTCACAAGGTAATATTTAAGCA